GTATCGTATGGAAAATAATAATAAAAAAATTACATTTTTATTATTCGTTTATGTATAATCAATTTTGAAAGTTATTTAAAAATAATTTCTTTTTAAACAGAATATCATAGATTTTATTGTTAAGTACTGTATATTTTACTAGATAAATCACAAAATGAGAATGATCTAAAGTGAGACAACCACATAACAAAGAATTAGTTACAAAAAATTAGATGCTCAGTTAGTAAGATTTTCGAAAAGAATGATAAAATTACATTTTATAGTACTACATAAAAAGCAGTAATTTGTTTTTAACTATTTTTATAATTTTGGAAGATATTTTATGAGTTACTTTTGCTAATGTAACTTATACAAATTAATGCTTACTTTAAAGTTATTTTTGAAGAAAGAAAAAATGATTATTTTTACTCACTTAAAATGTATAAAAAATTTGTTGCTTCAAACAATATTAATGTGAAGATTTCCTGTATTCATATTGCATTAAGGTATTACATATGCATTTACAATGGCTGTATTACTTTTAATTTTAATTATTGCATACAATAAAATAATTATTTAAATGTTTATATTGTAAATCATATATATATAAACTCTTGTGTTAGTGCTACTGTATTTTTAACAAAGGTCTAGCCGAATAAGTATGGTAAAAGTGCCTCCAAACCGAATCGATCTTGGTGCATATCATTCGATAGACCATTCGAATAAAACCCTTTCTGCCAAATATCAAGCTGCTACCCTTACTACTAGGGTAGTTACAGGGCGAAACGCAATTTACAGTTTAAGCTCCATTTCTCTTATTCTACTCAATGAAAACTTATGAAAAAAATCATGGATATGCTACCCAATGACATACATGTCTGTGAATTTTTTCAGAATTGTTGACTGCAAAATCGATTTTTAAAAAATTCGGAAAGTTAGTGGCGAGGTAGGGTGAATTCTTACGGAATTAAACGTTATTTCTGCGAGTGTGTAAATGGCAACCGTACTATCGAATGCTATTCGATACTAAAACCCCCATGGGGTTTTACCCAGTGGATGGGTTTTATCGGTTGTAATTTTGATTTGCAGCACTAGTGACCTGTTGCGTTTAATTTAATCTTCATCACTACCATTACTTATTACCGAATTTACCTATTTAGCATCGAAGATTTTACGAAGTATTTCTGCAGGCCTTATAATTTTTTTAATATATCGAGCATGCGACAAATAATAAATTATCGTAGCATTCGATAGTACGGTTAGGTTAGGCAGAAATAACGTTTAATTCCGTAAGAATCCACACTACCTTGCCTCTTCAGTCCAGGAGAGATGGGGTGTCTTCGGAAGATTTCCCCCAAGGAAAAAAAAAGGGATATGTCCAAATTAAGTGTATTGACTTACTTAAACATGTGAAAGTATTTGGAAATGCACATAATGACCATTTAATGAATAAAGTATGTCGATTATACGAGTATGCCAGTCTGCGTTCGAAAGGTTAGGATATATCAGTTTATCATTTTTTTAAGTATGGTACACCCCTCAAAAAAATCTGAAAAAATTATACATTAATAACCGTAACAAGCTGCTAAAACTGTAGAAAAATGAACATGGTCACACGAAGAATTAAAATAATAATATAAACGAACATCGGTTTTTGATTTTTCTAGGTGCCGTCCCCCACTTCGAAAAATCTGAAAATATTACACATTAATATCCATAACAGGACACTAATACTGTAAAAATATAAACGTGGTCGTTTGATAATTTCAATACAAAAACAACATTTATAAACTTTCCGAATTTTTTAAAAATCGATTTTGCAGTCAACAATTCTGAAAAAATTCACAGACATGTACGCCATTGGGTAGCACATCCGTGATTTTTTTCATAAGTTTTCATCGAGTAGAACAAGAGAAATGGAGCTTAAACTGTAAATTGCGTTTTACCCTGTAACTACCCTAGTAGTAGGGGTACCAGCTTGATACTTGGCAGAAAGGGTTTTCTTCGAAAAAAAAAATTAATATTTTCAAATCTTAATAATTGTGTTAAAAAATGTTGAAGTAACGATGTTAACAGTGCATGAAATACCTTAACACGTTCGCTGCCAGTGTCGCAGCATATGCGGCCGACAATGTATTGCCCAGCATGCTATCAATTTTTCGGTGGCAGCGAACGTGTTTAAAGCAAGGAATACTGAGTGTGTAAAAATGACTTATGAAACGAAGTTTTTTACCAGAATCAGGTAGGGAATTGAAGTCACCACAAAGTAATAACTGTACATTGGAAGAGTCAGGCTTGTGACCAGGCCTAAAAGACTGGCCAGCTTGGTCCAAAATGGAACGTAATTCATTACTGAGCATCATTGTTTGAATTAATTTAACGTCGCAAAATTCTGGATCCCAATGAATGTGTGCTGTGCAAACTAAAATTGGTTGTTGAACTTGTGCTGGGTCAGATGGCAGGCCTGTAAAGATTCAAAGTTATATTTTTTACACAAAAATTTGATTGAACAATAACGAACATTTTAACAAATAGAATAATAATTAGTTGCAATAGTATTTTATGATTTTTTCCATGTATTTCATTTTACATTTTTGAGTAACAATTTTGCTATTTTTAAGGAAATGAAGTAATATCTAGAAAAGAGTATTTACTTTACAAAAATATAAAACCATACCAACTGGAAAGTGTGATTCGTCACTAGAAAATTTATATATTATACGATAAAACTAATGGTGCCAGTAGTAGGAGCAACATACGTGTAATGTAGTATGTAAATATAATTGGTATTAAAAATTTGTTTAATGTTGCATTTTCCGAAAAAGCTGAGGTTTGACTATTTTTAACAGGATTAAATTTATCGGTATCAAATAATGCCAATTCTCCTAAATTTTAGACTAACATACAGTGCCTTATCATTACAGTTATTACCGTGTTATAGTTTAAGCAACGAACACTCTGTAAAATATTTTTGAGATGTATGCCTTCATACTTTGAAAATTTGATTTCTGTATAACAAAAAAGTGACTTCATCACAGAATAAAATTATTTCCTAAACTCTAGTTGTCCACTGTTTACGGGTTTTTTTACCAAGAAAGTTTGTTCTAATTTGAAAGCAATAGTTTCATTATGGTTTTTTCTCGATCGAACATTTGTATTTACAAGTCTTCTGAATGTCGTTCTACTTGGGACATCGACGTCTAATGCTTGACATAGTTAATTACAAATTGTCTTTTCGTTTTCATTTTGCAAGTGAGATTAATTTTCTATCAATATGATTATCTATTTTTTAAAGTCTTTTTCTGCATATGTTACTATTTTCCTATAATTTGCCATTTTATATTGTCAGCTACTGTTAAGCTACAGTTAAAGCTAAGTGTTCATTTGAGAGAAACGCAGGTTAGTTACTCTCGATAGTTATTCTCGAGTATGTGTCCATTTGAGAGCAATTTCCAGAATATTTACTCTCAGATAGACACTAGAAAATTCGCCGAGAGTTTACTACAGGCAACCCTCTTATAATACGGTTAATTCGTACCATATTACATCGAAACCGTGTTATAGGAGGATTGCCTGTATACCCAAAATAATAATGCTGTCCAATTACGATAATAAAAAAAAATTAAGCTAGTTAAAAGTCACTTTATTAAACAATTATATTAATTCGTTTGAATTTATCAACAAGAAATTGTCTACTGAATTAGTTTTCATTACGAACAGTGATGCACAGACTTCATATTGTGAATCGCTGCTAAAGAAGAAGGAGAGAGAACGCTGTTATTATGATGCAAAGGAAATTCACTGTTAATTCCCAGGTAGCACACGCCGTTTTAGAGATGTCCATTTTTGGTTTGAACGTTTTGAAGACATATGGGTCGGTATGTTCTAACAACATATAAAAATTATGTCTTTAAAACGTTTTTAAGACGTTTCGCAGCGTCACGTTTCAAAGACATCTTGATTTGTAACACTGGTCGTCGTTCAATCGTTTTTTTGGATATTTTTAGGATTTTATTCGACGTGTTTAGAACGTTCACAAGACGCTTGTGTGCTATCTGGGTTTCAACCGAAACAGTGTAATGAAAAAATTCGTGCTATATATGGGTTATCCAAGATTATTAAGTCGTGTTATATGGAAATCGTGTTATAGGAGGGGTGTCGCAATTTTTGCACCATGTTATATCAAAACCGTGTTAAAGGAGGGTTGCATGTATCAAACAGAACTCTCAGAATTATCTGCACTTTCTGTAATCTAGTTGGAAATAAGATTGAGGTAGGATAGTGATCATGGATGTGTAGAAACTTAGTGCTCTTATTATTACTTACAAATTCTTACAAGAAAACAAAAAAAACAATGCAAAAAGTAAAACAGTATTATTCATAAATACATGTTATATTTTTCTATAATATCGTGTACAATATATTTAATCTAAGGGAAATACTGAAAAAAATAAATGATTACTTAGATTAAAATAGACTCTAATACAAATTTTGTATACCAAAAAAACATGAAAATTAGTATTTTAAGTAAATAAAAAAGCGGTTAAAACATAAACCACGTATTACATTATTCTTAAACTACATATAATTAAATTATGCTAAAAAATTAAATTAAGAATAACAATATCGACAGTAATAATGGAGGTTATAACAAGAAAGAAGTTGATATAAAATAACAAAAGTATTTGTCACATAGAGAATAAGAAAGTAGCTTATAATCACTGAAAGTTGATATACTATTTAAGTTTTAATATTCTAACGCAAAAGAATTATTAGTAAAAATAAAAATAATAGCTATTAAGTGCACATCTGTGCATTGTAAATAAAAAATTGGAATGTTGCTAATTTCTTCATAAGTATTTCTGTAGTTTTCGTGTGCCACAGCCAACTTTTATGCAACCGAATTGTTCTTTCACAAATTAAAAAAATAAAAAATATTAAATAACCAAAAATATATGAAACAAAAACAGAATAAGTCTAACAAGTGTTTTACAAATACTACTAAATAGAAATATTTTTATATATAAACAATGGTTAACTGTACCATAAAAATTTTAATTAAAAGTTCTCAAACATAGCTATAATGGATGTCTGTGTCAAAAACCCTTAATAATAAAGGTCCATTTCCTTTTTTCTATGCATGAATATTGCTGGATGGTTCGCAAGTTGGATGGTTATAATACATAACCGTAGTACATAGTACTCTCAGAAGAATGAAACTGTTTTGTATTTTGGAAGCAATTCTTCAATAATAATATTACTAACCAATCAAGTGTTCCACTCGAGAGCAACTTACAAAAGATCCTTGGATGTTTTAAGGAAAGTTCTTGAACATTTTTACATAAAAAATATAATAATTTAATTGGGAAAAACATCTGCTAATGATAGTAAAACATTCTCAAAAACTAAATTTCAACTTTTCAGGGAAATATAACATTCAACAAATTTTCGAAAACAATTTGCTACTTTAAACATACGTTAGTCAATGTATTTTTGCCTTTTTCTTCTAATTGTTATAAAAAGGGTGTGTGCACGGCTTGTTCCACCGCTGTCACCCCTTTTATTATAGGGATTTACGACTCGCGTTCCGAACGGTCGTCGGCAGGCTGTCAGGTGCTCGCGGACTTTGACCGGTATCACCAGCCTTGCGACGTCGTTCGGGTTTTGGTCCTGATATAAAGGCGCGTGTTTCCCGATTCGCGGTAGACGTGGGTGTAGATAGGAGGGCTCGGACGTGCCAACGTATGGTTAACGAAGGTAGCCGAAGGAGATGGTCCACTAGCGTATAGTTTACACCGTGTGCCACCGGATATGAAGGTGTTCGGTGTAAGACGGGAGGGCTCGGACGTGCCAACGTATGGTTAACGAAGGTAGCCGAAGGAGGTGGTTTATTCGGGATTGGTTAACGACGCGTGACACCGGAGGATGTGTCGGGTGTAAGACAGGAGTGCTCGGACGTGCCAACGTATGGTTAACGAAGGTAGCCGAAGGAGGTGGTTTATTCGGGATTGGTTAACGACGCGTGACACCGGAGGATGTGTCGGGTGTAAGACAGGAGTGCTCGGACGTGCCAACGTATGGTTAACGAAGGTAGCCGAAGGAGGCGGTTTATTCGGGATTGGTTAACGACGCGTGACACCGGAGGATGTGTCGGGTGTAAGACAGGAGTGCTCGGACGTGCCAACGTATGGTTAACGAAGGTAGCCGAAGGAGGCGGTTTATTCGGGATTGGTTAACGACGCGTGACACCGGAGGATGTGTCGGGTGTAAGACAGGAGGGCTCGGACGTGCCAACGTATGGTTAACGAAGGTAGCCGAAGGAGGCGGTTTATTCGGGATTGGTTAACGACGCGTGACACCGGAGGATGTGTCGGGTGTAAGACAGGAGGGCTCGGACGTGCCATGATAACAATGGCTTTATCATACAATTTACTAATTTGGTAGAAATAAATAACTGTTTCTAAAGGAGGTGGTCTTAATATTATCAGCTTAATAAATATCCACTTCGGATCTATTACACTTTAATACTTTTTTGCTTATATTTGATGTCCTGTTCACAAAAATGTGGGATGTTCTAAAAATTTACGATGACCGTCATAACTTAAGGTGTAAACATTAAAAAATAATCATTGTAGGGTACGTCGCTTTTGAAGTTATGTAATTGCATTTTTTTTTTACAAATTTCTTCACACAGCGATGATTTACTAATTACTTCAAGTTGTCAGTTGTAGTTGTCAATTTGAAACTAGAATTCAACATACTTCAGTTATTTTTTATTACATGAAAGATATGCAAGGAAGAAGATATAGGTTTTAACTGAATAAATATTGCGATACAGAAGTTTTTAGTCTTTCAGGTCATGGTTTTCAAGATTTCAAAATCAACACTTTCTTAAATTATGTTTTCTTCAAATTATGTTGAACAATAAAAACCATATTTATACAGATGAAAAAGTACGACATAATATTTGTGTATTTGTGCATATTTGTATCTTATGTATTACTCCTTTAAATATTTTTTCATATCAAAAACAGTAGATTTAAAAAATTTTTAGATAACTGCTTTTATATTATGGTAAATCTTATTTATTGGTTTCAATGCACATATATGAAGCGCTTAAAGATTTAAATGTAAAATAAAATGTATCCAATTCTGTTGTTATTCTATATTCTATAACAAAATTGTCAATTTATTCTATTCTGTTTCTTCTTTATTGCCTGAATATTTTGTTTCATAATGACACAGATTATGACCAAGATACAACAGGTGCAAATTGTATTCATACTAAATTTTAATGTTAATTCTGACTTCAATTATAATGTATCAAATTGAGAGATACTAAATACAAATTATTTCATATTTTAACCTTTCCTTAAAAGATAGAATTTTAAAACAATAAAAAGTACATACTAAATATTAGAACGGAGAATCTTTAAGTAGCACAAAGAGGAATATATAATAAATTTAAACTCCATTTATTTATGCAGTTATGCAATGAAATCAAAGATAATATTGGTAATAATGCATTTACTTACCAGAGTTATTTAATAAATACCTCTAACCACACCATATAATGATATGAACTAATTTGTATTGTAACATGATTTAATATGATTTCTTTAATGTATTATACATGTATTATACCTTCTCTTTAAATGTTCGTATTAAAATTTTCTTTACAATAGAAAAAATAGTTTATAAGTTTGAAAAAATATTAATAATTTCATCTCTGAA